TGTCCTTTTCTTGCTGAGAAGCTAAGGAGAAGAAAACTTTAATATTGCCCAGACACCGGTGCTTTTTCTTCATCTAATTTTTTCAGGAGGAACTGCAAGGGCAGGCACGAATAGCTGACAAGCTTGGCCCTTGTCCACGAACGTACTTGCTTCCATAGCACCGGTATGATCCTGTGAGAACAGACATATGGTCGATGAGTCTCGTGTTTCTCACTACGTACTGGTGGTAAGAAACGAGGCCAGGTTGCCGTTCGGTTTCTCGTGTACCGGTTCAATATGACTCAGAAGAAAGGAAGCTAGAGGTAATCGTTTCTGGAGTGAGATTTTTTTCCTGCATTCCAGATACTCAACCTCGTTGGAGATGGAACATCGAGGGATCAAATAGATTTGGTAGAAGATGCTCCATCAAACCTACCAAGGAAGAACGGCGGCAGGTTCTGGCATCGTTCAATATCATAGTCCCCTTTGTAACAGACGGATTGTAAAGCTTGAATAAGGAAGGAAATCCTCACTTTCTGGAAATTCATTGAGAATTTTCGTCAGCTTTCGATCCCTCTTGATTGGCGCAGCGCACATGCTCATTACAAAGCACGAAAACGCTCCTAGAAAAGTCGTGGCGCAGAAAAGCTCTTCTCCGTACAAATCCCCATCCACACAAATCACTTTCGCGCGCATGGGTACGTGCTAATTTTGGTACGGTTCCAGCATTTCTCACCACGTTTCGTGCATAACTATCTCGATCTTTTGGAGGCCTGAAAATGTGTAGTTGGTAAAGGGGTCTTTGTAACCTACGTATCACACACTCAGAACAAAAACTACAGACTCGGTCGACACAAGTGAACACATGAACGAATTCGTCTCGCTCTGGAGGTGCTCCTTTTGGCAGTCTCTCATATTGTGCTCCGAGTGGAAGTGCTGAATAAATAAAAACAATGACTAAGGTCTTCTAGCGAATCAAGCCAGTCTAAGTAACAATATTGACTCGATGTTGATGCAATGCATAGTCAACATTGCTCGATTATAAAAAATTAGATAAGCGAGTATCAATATTCCAAGGACAAGGAATTCGTGTTGCACTTTAGTTGAGTATTCACTGTCCTGTCATGTTACATCAACATGACGCCGAACGAGTCATCTGGCAGTTATTCGAACAAATAAGGCTCTCAGATCCAGAAGTGAGATGGCAACTTAACCGTAAATACAGTGAGTTACCTAATGTATGCGGCAGGCATAACTCCCCAGTACTTTTTGAACGGCACTTGATCCTCACCTGGGAAGGGATTAAAACACCTCAATACATTCGACGAAGGAGCCAACTCAACGAGACCCGGGGTGATCAAGGGTATGCTCGGGAATAGAGAAAGGAAAGTTCGCGTGGCGATTCGACTCCATAGGACACCCCAGCCCGACTAAAAGAGGGACATCCCAGTCCGAAATGCTGCAGGTCGCGCGGGAGGATCAATGGAGTGATTTGCTTCCACCTTTTCATTCATTTCAGCAATTGTATTGACCTCTTGCTTCCATGGAAATTAGATGTCTCCATCTAATGCAGACGCTAAATCAATGACACTAGCATGATATTAATGTATTAAAGTTCACGTTGACGCAAAATTCATATGGTATTAAGCACTCAACTGGAGCATGAATTCAAAATCTCAGCAATATTGGGACCAGTGTCATTTCAACGTTGAGCCAATGTAGACTCAGCATTTAAACCTTAATACTTTTGCAACGTTGAAGCAATATTGTTGTACAAACTGGGAGCACACGGGCGTGCCTTCCAGAGTCACCCATGACTGAACTAGCATTAAAAGTGCTGACGATTTCTCATGATGGGATATTTCACAGAGATACCTTAAGTGAAAACTACTTGACATATTTTGAAACCTGAAGTGCTAATGGCGTCGAATGACACTGCAGCTTGTTTTCTTTTGTATTGTCAACGGCCGATATCCGTGGTACTCCAAAATACGCGAGGGTATCGAAAAGTAGAAGGACAAACAACTGGAACTGTCTACGCCGTCGAAACAGGAATGCAATATTGTCCTCTAGGTCAGTCGTGGTATCTCACGACATTTTTCTACCCCGTTTGACTGCAATTAAGGCTTCCAATCATGTAAGTCATCGAAGTCAAACATGGCAGGTGTGCTGACTAACTGCACGTTCTGAGGCAAGCCGATAACAACTTTTTTTTGGACTGGAGTTGCATGATCTAGTCCACGTTCAGCAACCTTGCAATAAATACGTCTTTTCGCGAACATGCTGCTTCATGAATTGAAACCCACCATTCGCAGCAAACGTGGACTATCGACACATGGCATGTTTCTACAGTATGACAACGAAATGACACATTCCGCGTATGAATCACTTGCCACCGTTTAGGAATTGGAGTAGGAGATGGTACCCCATTCACCGCAGTCCTAACCTAGCGCCTTGCAACTTCCGTCAGTCTTTGCCTGTCGAAGAGAGTCCTTCGAGGATGGTCTGAGGATGGATGAGAACAGCGATGGGGAACTGCAGCTGACTACGGACCTTAAGCAGCTCTGAGGAGAAACTTTCTAATAAATGTTGCTGCACAAGACCACTCAGAGGCAAAACTAAAGAAAATAAGGAAATTAACGTAACTGATGGATCTTCATAAACGAATCGTCAGTGGATTCATCCAAGCCCAGATGTTTGGCCATATAGGCATTAAGTGTTGAAGAACAGGGTGATTCAAGAATGACAAACGAGTGAATAACGCTATGACAGAGCAGCAAAAAACTGACTGGACTGATTTGGTCGAAAGACGTACTGTAATGGATACAAATCCTGGAAGGGAATACATATTGTGAATGTGAGGAAGAGAGTTGTCGTTTACTCAAAGTTGTACCTGCTTGAAATTGACACTGCATGAAGCGTCCAGACCTACATACTTCTCCATTCGCGAGAGGACTGACACACGGTATTCGAGATTGAAAAGGCAAGACTTATCTCACACAAAAGTGTGAGATAAGTCTTGCCTTTGCACAGAATGCAGGGCATGGCCCATCAGGGCAATCGGTGTCTAGGTGTTTCCTGCTAATGTTGCATGGTAAAATAGGGCTCCTCCCTAAGAGCATTAAGGACACCAAAATGGTGAAAATTAAATAATGTATTGTTCTCAAGCGAAGGACGAATATTGGGAAAAATATTTCGAAATGTGATAATATCCACAGTTAGGCTACACATGAGGTACATAGCCGTTTTAGAACACTTCCTTCGGCCCACTGGCAGTCAGCTCCCGGCGCCAGCGGGAACTTGGTGGAGTGGGTCGAAGCTGGTCGAGCGTGCATCAGAAATTCGTGTCATTGACCCGCGTCTTGTCTCTTCTGGAGCTGAGCTGGCAAATGTGAGCCGACTCGACGAGGTAGGGGCGGGGGGACTCCGTTTAAATGGTCTAAAGCCGTCAGTTTCATAGCGCTCGGCTTGTCAGGATTGAGCTACTAAAGTACTCGTATGTCTTTCACATTCACTGTGATATGATCTCACTAATCATTCGCTGTAGTGCTCAGACAAAGAACGGCATTTAAGGTGTTCAGGAGTTTTAAAAAAAATGCAGAGGAAACTACCCATGATTCCACTGTAAGCTGAGACTGGCATGAATGATGGAAACCCGGACGGGAAGGCATTGAAGAATGCGGAAACAAATCCGTCTTTCTCAAGAAGCATACAGGGGGAGGGGAGAGGGGGAGGAAATATGCCGGAATCGACAGCACGAGATGTTCTGTTCTCTAAAATTTTGAAATCTGTCTCTCAGTTTTCACTTCGCATGTGAAACCTTAACATCTCAAAAACGAACGAAGTTAATCTATTCTCAATTCATCTCTCATCTCTATACTCATCTCTATACTATACTATATTCATCTCTATATTCGTGTGGGTTCCTAACGCTGACGTCACTCTCAGTTTACGGCAGGATGACGCATAGAGTTCAAAAAACCCTTCGGTGCAAGACAAGGGAAGAATTTTGAGGGGTGACGCCGCCGAAAGTGCGGAAACGGGACTTTGAGGAGGAAGAATCACCTGTTATAATATGAGTAATTTAAAGGTCTACTGTTTCATTCTTGAGAAGCGATTCTCAACCTTCTTTCCTGGCTTTTATGATCATGATCTCACACAATTCTTACTCTGGTTCGGAACGAATTTCCTTGTCTTGGTTACATTTTGCCAATAATTTGCAGCATTATTTACCCGAATAAAATGTGGGATTTCGTGCAGAACTTGAACCTTGGACGTGAACGTACAGGAGACATTTCCGTCGCTTCCTTACGACAGAATTGACCGGATTTCACAGATCTCTCAACGCTTCCATAATTTTCGGGGACTGGGAGAGATTTACCAGATTTTTATGATGTCCCTTACCCAACGCTTTCGGTGAATTCGATTGCTGGACGTTCGCACAGTTTTTCTCGAACTTCCTTTCCGCTGCTTACGTTTCATAGCAGTCAAACTTTAACTCCAAACTTCAACCGCCTGCGAACTGCAAGGGATTTCATACCCCGTAGAAAGTTGGATCGACTCCCACGCGCTTCCGTTGACGTGATTTTTTACTCGGAAACTGTTGCAGAAAAGGAAGTGTTTCTCGACATGCCAAGCGAATGAGTGAATGCAGTGGGCGGAGAAAGACAATAGAAGCCAGTGGCACTCTGGCTGGCTTCTGTCTTGGATCCGAGCCATCTCGCTAATATAGATGGGAAAGAGAAGCAAGAACGATGTCTGTGACGCTAGGATTTCCGAATCGCGAAGGGAACAAGGGTACCTAGGAACTCGCCTCTTGGAACGAGGGGGAAGGTGAATGGAAGTTGGCATTTGTCACAGACCAAGGACATGGCAGTTCGGAGAAGTATCATCGAGGAAGAGAAGAAATGAGTCGTGAGTCAATGTTGCAGCTAAATTTGTACACGGTGGGGTGGGACGGAAAGAGAGAGAGGGATGAGAGAAAGGAGGCTGCACACATGTGCCCATCCAGACGCCTTTATGACTCGTGTGGGTGAACATCGAGGCATGGAAGGTGAACTGGAATAGGGAGCCACGATGAGCCACAGGAACCCGGAGTTGCGGCTTCAGATCCCCCCCTCGGTGCCTCCGCGGCGAAAGACGTCGGGGGGCGGGGTCCCCGCGGGAGGCCCCGCAGGGGTGGGTGGGAGGTCCCCGAGGGGACCCGCGGTGTATCGGTCTCCCATCCCCTCCAGGGTCTTCACGCCTCGCACGCCGCTGCCCAAGAACTTCGAGATCAACATACCCTCGGTGGAGGAAGTGAAGAAGACGAAATGGAACGCACCCGACTTCATGAAGATCCCGTGGGATCTCCAAGACCTCCAGAACATGCCGGGACAGTTCCTGGACCAGGTGAAAAAAGTGAGGGACGTGACTTTCAGTTCCCTGAGCTTCGGGCAGCGCTTCATCCTCTGGGCTTCGGAGAAGGTGAAGAACTTGTCCTCCCGGTGGTTCACTCACGTCTTCCTCTTTCTCGTGCTTTTCCTGTATTGCGTGCTCGGAGCTCTGGTCTTCCGAGCCGTCGAAGGTCCGTCGGAAGACGTTCAGAAGACCCGCGTCCAAGACACCCGGGATAACGTGCTCAAAGAGTTGAAAATTCTCAGAAAAGCCGTCATTTCGGACGAAAGATGGGAACGTTTGGTTCTGAACGATTTAAAGACTTTCGAGGAAGCACTTTTCGAAGCTTACAAGAACGGAATCAACGACGACATCGACAAGAGGAAGTGGACCTTCTGGGGCGCAATGTTCTACAGCGGCACTATTTTCACCACCATCGGTAAGCTTCGAATCCCAAAGGAAATAGGCTTCAGAAATGGCTTTGGTTCTCCCACGAGAAGAGCCGGGCACTATCAAAATACTAGCTTACTCGAGTTTATGTCCACGTCTCGCCTTTTAATTTTCTCCGGGAATGAAGCGCATCGATCCCCACCCGGACATACGAGTAGACAATTCCATTCAGTTCTGGACCCGCAGGATCATTCGGCCCGATCCCACTTTTAAAGGCTAACTCCAGTTTCACCTTTTTTCCTTACTCTGATGAGAGCGAAAAGAGAGGAAAATTAGCGGTACTCTGATGTTTTTGTTCTTCCGCAGTGAAAAAGGAGGGAAAATAAGCCAAAAAAAAGAGCGAAACCGGAGTTAGAGCTCGCTTTTTTCTAAGAATGTACTCAACAAGCGTCACACTCCCTAACGAGCTCTTTTTGCTCTACCGTCGACGATCTGATAAAAGAACGAATGCGGAACAGTAATTTTCTAGAAATTCGCCTTTTTTTCAGGCTGAAGAATGATAATTGAAGGATGTTTCCCTCTCTTTACACTTTCAGCTTAATGTTGCAAAGTCGAACATTCCGCAAATGTAATTCTGCAGTGCGAAAGAAGGGCGAATTTTTGTCCTGAAAATTTTCGAAATTGCGTACTTGTGATGTGGCAAGAGGAGAGGGTCAAGCGAGTACTTCGCTTAGTTTCGATAAAAACGCTTCCAAAATGTAATTTTGGTCCCGGTCGCATATACTTCGCTCTGGAATTTTGATTGCGTTTCGAGAAAAGAAAAATTAAATAAGAAATCTTACTAACTAAAAAAAAGGACATTCCGAAGATCTATTAGAAAGTGTTCATCGCATTTTTTTTAAAGCCCCGTTTGTCCCTTTTCTCGACCTGCATGACCTGTGCCCTTTTTTCACCGACGATCATCTACGATATTTTCGCGCAAACTTCGGTCACCTCAACTCCAATTCCATAGAAGAACTTCGTCAAGGTCGTGCAAGAAAAAGTTTGTCAAGGTCGCACAAGTCATGAATTCTTAAGTGTTAACTATCCGTTCAGGATGCCAGAAAACTCGGCCAGACATTTTTGGCACGACCGCTGTTTGTAGTGGCCCCGACCAGACAATCGCAGGCACGAGGTACCTGCCTCCAGTCCTAAACTGTACCCGCCTTCGATGCAAAGCAGGTCCGAAGTACCTCGAGCGACGTTCCGCATGGAATTTAAGATTTTCCGCACCGAATTCGCGCGAATTTCTGTTCGTCGCTCGAAGGGAAAATCGAAACTCGACCGAAATTCGACGTTTTCACCGCCGAATGGCGACGTTCGCGAGGAAAAAGAAATAAAGGGCGAAAGCGACTGGTATATCGACCTGCTTCGAGCCGCATACCTAAGAAATCACTCCAGACATGACAGGTTGTTTTCCACGTTTTCTTACCGAGCCTGCCACCCGAGATGGGAGCCACTTGAAATGAAGCCAGGGATGTCAACGTCGCTGGATGTGCAAGCGAGGCGGGGTTCATTAACTTCCCCGGAGCGACGACAGACAACGCTTGGAGTCTCATTTGTATCTGATAGGAAAAATTTGTAACGGTCACGGGTCGTTGTTGTAGCATTCCTGGTTTTTTTTTTTTTGCGTGTGTATGGTTTTAGGGTACGGGCACATCGTTCCGAACACTTCGTGGGGCCGAGCACTCACGATCGGGTACGCCATCATCGGGATCCCGATTCTCCTCATGTGCTTGGCCGACTTCGGGAAACTCATGACCAGAGGCATCAAGATGCTCTTTGCGTGCTGTCGACGCATATATTACACCGGGACGTGCAGGCGAGCGCGGAGGGCTGCACCTGTCAAGGTACGACAGAAACGAATTGGGCTGTTGCAAATACAGAGGGATTCTGCCGGTCTGGAACATCTCGAGTGCGGAGGAAACATTAGGGAAAAAGCCTCGTATTTGCCACTCGGCGAGATTAAAAGTCGAAAAAGTCGGAGAACTGAGGCAAAATTGGCAAATTTAGGCCTTTTACACTGTTTCCACGCCACTCGTGATGTCGGATGCAACTACTCCGACTGCACCTGTCAGTATGCTCTGGCCCTCAGGTCATGACCAAAGGGTACCAGAAAGGAAAGCAAGTGGTGCAAGACATCGCGAGTCTCCAGGCGCCGGACTTCACGTCGGACGTGGCCACGCCGTCGTCGCCGTCCATCGAAGAGGAGCCGCCGCCGTTCCACGTCGACGACGAGTTCGACATGCCCGTCTGGTTGGCTCTGCTCATGCTCGTCTTCTACATGTTCGTCGGGGCCATCCTGTTTACCAGGTGAGTCGTCTGGAGGGAACGGCCTGTCTCGAAGAGAAATGATTCACTCGCGCTGAGAAATGAGCCTAGCCGTCCGTATGATGTACGGCTTTCCGCTGCATTGCTGGCGGTACTGACGGTGAAGGATGCCGTTTCTAGCTGGGAAGACTGGACCTTCTTCGAGTCCTTCTACTTCGTCTTCATTTCGATGTCCACCATCGGGTTCGGGGACTTGGTGCCCGAGCACGAGAAGTTCATGATGGCGTCCGTGGTCTACCTCATCTTCGGCCTGGCGCTCACCTCCATGTGCATCAACGTCGTTCAGGTGAGTCGCGAGGAATCTGTTCCACGTTCGATTTCCTCACCTCATCGCCTCTCTGATGCTCGGGTGGAAGACGAGACGGAAGGCGGAGGTGTCTTGAAAGCTTTCCAAATCAGAGACCCGAGAAGCTCACGGTTCCCTCCCTTTCGCTTTTTCTTCGTCGCTCTCTTTTGTCACTCCTGTCAGCGATTGGAAGTGTTTCCTATGACGAGTTTGGCAGTGCGGCAAGGTCGATTGAAAGGTACGCGATTTTGCACGCAAACTCACGGACGGTGTCTCCCCCGCGCAGGAAGCGATATCGTCGACGTTCAAAGAGGCGAGCGAAAAGCTGAGCGCAACCATCGGGATCAGCCTCCAGAATGCGGAGGAGGAGGAGGAGGAGGGAGAGGGAGAGGGAGAGGGAGAGGAGGGAGACGACGAAACAAATAAGACGAAGGAGAAAAAGGAGAAAGACGACGAAGCCCATCATAAGACGAAAGACAAGGACAAAGACGAGCGGAAGAAGAGCACGGCCGGTCCCACCCCGGTTTAAAACGCCTTCTCCACCCAGTAGTCAACAGAAACAGAGACGCACATCGTCGGCCACTCCCCCGGAATGGATTTCCATCGTAACGAAAGAAAGTGGCGGGAAAAACCATGGAAACAGAAAAAGAAGTATTGGGACTCTAGGGGTTGCCACCGGTTGCCACCCGTTCATATAGTCGAGTCACTGGGATTTTGGCGAGTTGGTCGGCGAGTTTTACAGGTCACCCCATTAGAGGTCTTAACATTTCAGCTAGCTGACAGTCCTCTTCCCTGATATACAGCTTAGAAAAACAGGGTTGCCACAGACATTTTTTCTTCACAAGGACAGCAAGAATGGCTAATATAAAATGTAATGCCATTTTTTACGCATCCTCTGATGATGACTCTGAAGAGGACTCACCACGTAGAACAACGAGCCTGTCTGTCTTCCTTTCGACATTTATTCCTCGAACTCCATATCGTGCCGAAGAAAAGACTCATAGAGCATCCTTGTCAGAATGTCACGGTTAGATAGAACTAAACGTCTTTGACGGTAGGAGTTAATCCGCCGACGAAGGCCAAGGAGACCCTAAATGATTCATTCTTTTCTTCTCCTTCCACTGCCCATATTCCCAGTGACTGGACTATAATTAGAATGAACAGTACATATTTCAGATGCAATGTCCATGCTACAAACTGGCCCTAAAATGGACACTGTTTTGTCCATATTTTAAACTTGTTAAGATATGTTTACTTAATAAAGCTTAGTAGCAACTAATATCGCTATTTTCCGTATGTCAGAAACAGGAGGCTACACTTAGAATCGATTGGCGCCTTGGCTGAAGGTGGCTGTGGGTATATTTAGAGTATTTTTCCATATTTTGTTAAATTCGAAGGTGGCAACCCTACTCTTGAGCCGTGCCACGAAGAAAACAACTGCGTAGAAGGTTCAACGCGTTTCGATTCCTTCGTGACAGTGACAACGACTCGCTCCCGCAGTCGTCGCCATTGAGCGCAGCGGCTCGTTGTTCACGTGCGTCTTTTTTTTCACTTTTTTTTCACCGTATTCAAAAAAACGATAAATAAGGCCATGGCGAGTGCGGCTTCTCAACACGATACGCTTTCATTGTGGTTATTTTTTGCATCCCGGTGCTGGGATGCGATGGGTTTGTTTTTTTTTTTTCCTCTTCGTTTTGTGTTCTTAGCTCTGATTAGGTCTGCATTTCTCTGCGCCAGAATAATACTTCTGTGATAAATGACGCATCAGCTGAGGGACAACGGCAAACGATTTTCGATCTGTGCAAGATGTCTTCTCCGCGCTCGAGTTTGCTCTACGAATTAAAGTGCCTCTCTAATTATGAGTTAGTCTCTGGTGTTTACTGCAAGTAGAATTGCCGCAAATGAAATTGCCTTTATTGAAAATAAAAATTGAATTTGCAAAAACCTGAGGCTGTTTATTTTTTCCACTCGATCATCAATCCCTGCCTAATTGCCTATATTTTGGAAATATATTATTGGAGAATTTATTTTAAAGATGCATCGGGATGGAGACCGCTGTAAACAAATTTCAGACACATTTGTCTTGAGTCTGGATTGGAACTCATGTTTCGTATGGTGCCATCTGCAAAAAAGTGTTGAGTCGAGATCCTTTCCGAACCTCATTGAACCTTTAATGGAGTCCCCAAGGAGCTGGTAGATTCGACCACACGATCAAATCCAAGAAACAGATTAAGTAAAGAGGGTGCGAGTTGAAAAAATAGGGGGGACTCGATCTGATTCGTTAAGCCTGTACGAAGCTTCTCGAGCCAAAGGGCGATCGCAAGAGAAAACCCAGACGAGTAACAGGGTAACAGGGTATCAGGGTAACAGGGTAACAGCGGAGAGGGAGCTACCCCTGTCCCTAACGTCGGTCCTGAGGAGAAATTTTTTACATATGAGGTCTGCAATTCCGAAGGGAGCCGAACCCGTAGATCGACCCCCCTCCCTCCCGCCTACATTTTGAAGAACAACCATACATAACCCCCCCCCCGTTAATACATAAACATAAACATAATACATAACCCCCCCCATTAATACATAAACAAACATAATACATAAACCTCTCCAAGGCTGGATTTCGGGGCAAACCCTCATTGGCAAAGAAAAGCCTTTTTCGTCAAATCTGATAAAGGGTCCCGTCCCTCTATCGCCTCTTGCGACAGATAAGCTTCAAGGTCATTGTGTCCTCCCCTAGTTATCCTTTTGTTACAACTAAAAAATGGTTCAACAATCAAGAACAGGCAGAGCGAAAAAATGAGCGTGGAAAGTGCTGACACGAGTTCTCATTATTACGTGATGGTCAACGATCGTCAGCTGATGATACCTCCCAACTGTCTTTTTTTCTGTTCCCCACATTGACCGTTTAAGAAAAGTCGATGGTCACGTGACGAGAAATTATCCCCATCGGTCATGTCCATTTCCACCCAAGATGTTGGAGGGGTTGGGGGGGGGGGGGGGGGGGGGGGGTAGGACACTCGTAGTATCTCGAGAAACACAAAGGCGCACGAATCCTTCCGTGAATGCCTCGTTCTACCTCGTATTCTGCACATCCATTCAGCAATCGCATCTATCTCTCAGAAGGCAAACGGTCCATCATCAGCAACAACAACAACAACAACAATATCTATTTCCCCCCGAGTGCAAGAGTTCAGCCTTCAAGCGACTCGGGGAGAGTTCAAGTTGCGCACGAGGGGCTTAAATCTGGATCAAATATGGATCACAGTTTACGCCCATTTGGGATTTCCAGGGCATGTTGCTCACTGCAGCTCTTCCAACGCCAACTGTAGCCGCATTATACAAATAAGAAAATGACAATGAAATCGGGAGTCACAGCGTCTCGTTTTTGCAGAACAGACATCATTTCCCTTCGTCTTCGTCGGCATGTACGACCTCGTCATAATTTTTCTGCCCGGGGTTCTCTTATTCTTTTCTTTTTCTCGTCCTGCGATTGGACAATGGAATGAGGAATCCCGAGTTAATGGTGTACACCTTTTCGTTGTCGGAAAAGTTAGACCAAAAGGCCGTCCGGTCAAATCACCGACGGTCAATCCTCAGAGAGTCGATTTTCCCGAATTTGAGTTCCTGTTCGGCAAATTCCCCGGCTGATCAGACCCCGACGATCAGTTTCCCGATCGATCGACCCTCGAACGGCAAATTCCCGGATGATGGTACAAAGGCACGACGGTACAGACGCGATTCGATTGTCGATAATGAATTACAGTAGGAACGTTCTAAATAGGGTGCCCCGATAAAACGCCCACTGAAAAAAATGCCCAAGGAAATAATGCCCACAGTAAAAACGCCCACTGAAAAAATGCCCACGGAATAAACGCCCATATCTGCAAAGTACGAAAAAATGCCCACATGCGTATTTTCAAATATCTCTTGCGGCTTCTTTTTCATTTGTAAAAACGAATGCAGTTTAATTTTCCAAACATGATATATAACCATTGAATACATTAAATATATCACATCTATCAACGTAATAAAACATGAATATGAAGAAAATTCCAAAGATTCCAGAACGCTTCAACGTTGGATCAACGAAAGGAGTATTATTTCCGGGAATGCAAAGGAAAACGTGAGAAAAAAGTCACTTGAGATAAGATCTGGTGCGTGGGATTTTGCTGCTAATTCGCCTGTCCTTTGGATCGATTTCAATAGCAATGGAGTGATTGAAGTGTGACATGCCACGTTTGACATGAGAAGGTCCGGTTGCCTACAATTATCTAGGAGGTAGGTGCGTATTGATCCCGAGGAAGGCGGAAAGTTAAGCTCCATGCAGAGGATCATGGGAAAAAAATCGTTGAACATTGTTTTAGACAAGACACTGACAACTCTTGATTGACAATTTCCTCCTACCCCCTGTGAAGCATGAGGAGGAGATCATGATGCCATTGTTCAAAGTATCTTCAAACGGATGATATATAAATACGGCGTCTTAAGCTTATTCATTTCACTTCAAGTAACCATGGAGTTCATCTCGAACCAGAAAGGCGGACGGAAAATTATCTTCGAAGGCATGTGAAGCACTCCCAGAAGAACGACAAAATCCGGTGGTGCTGTGCCCTGCGGTCCCCATCTTGTGGGGGAATTTTGTTCACGGACGCCGACTGCACCAATTTCTGTCCAGGAGTAGCACATAACCATGCTCCGGACACGACAGCTACCAAGATCAACAAATGTGTCTCCATGAAGCAACGAGCGGCCAAGACGTGTGACAAGCCAGGTGTTGTCTACTCGCAAGTCATGATGCATTTGGATGACGATGCTCGTGCGCTTTGCCATCAGAGGCATCCGTCAAACGAACTCTGCAAAATCAACGCAGCTCTTTATGGCAGTGCCATAAATGAGATGCTTTTTTGCAGAATAAAAAATAAATAAAAACCAGAAAAATATTCACGTGGGCATTTTTTCGTACTTTGCAGGTATGGGCGTTTTTTTCGTGGACATTTTTTCTTGTGGGCGTTTTGTCTGTGGGCATTATTTCCATGGGCAATTCTTCAGTGGGCATTTTTTCGTATATTCCTAAATAGCCATCTCGAGGTCGGGACTGCATAGAAATAGAGAAAAAAAAAGAATGAATGCTGAAACCTCCTTGAGTTAACGGTCCTTTAAGAATACGTGGACTTCTATGGGAGAAAAATAGATATTTAGCTTAAAGGCCTCTTTATCTCGCCTTAATGAGGATTGTGGGGTTGGGTATTTGCATTTTCACCGTAACACAGACTATAGGGCTCCAAGGGCGCTAATTAAAAAGGCTCATTCCCCCTCCCGCATCTCCATGTAGCCGCTGGGATCCTACAATTACCCCCGTTCCTTCTCTTTTTTTTCCTTTTTTCTTTTCTCTTTACACCAAGAATAATTACATTCATCAACATCATTACCTTCATGTATTACCGTTGACCCAAAATGAAAAATACATTTCAAGGAGTCGCTTGAGAGGGGTTTGCCTCACGTTTCGATCGACCTCCTTCGATTGCTTTTGCAATCGTGCCGATTGCAAAAGTCTTTCGGTATGAGAGACGAAATATTTTTGGCAAGAATTGGCAAGGGAGAGGGCCGCTCTCGTGCACCAGCATAATGGAATCGTGCACATGATGATTGGGATCCCTGTAACGGGGACGGAAGGACCCAGGACAAAATGGTCCCTGACATTTCGGTTCCAAATAATCCAGGAGAAAATGGTTCCTAAAGTAGAAAGGTACTATGAAATTTCATAGCGTTTCAACGCTGGATGATGTGCTCTTGGGCACGCCACTGGTTATACCACCGTCGAGGAATTTGCGTTGACAGTTGAAGAAATAAAACTTCTGGAAATTGCGCGCGGAAAACCGACCGACTGGGGAAAAAGTCGAGTGTCCAGTGCCCTGGCAATCGCTAAACCCATGTTGGTGGAATATACTGTACATGTTATATAGTCGATATCTTGAACCCTTGCACAGCGGCATTTCCTGCCTCCTGGTGGACTCCCATAAAAAGCGGATTAGCACCTGTCAACTGAGTTTATTGAGAGTGGCCTGATCTTGTTACCCTCCAAACGAATAAGGGACCGAGCAAAATATGCATGTTTCAGGGATGAGACATGGGTGGACAGTCATAAGGAGGATGGAACAAGTTGCGAACATCAATCCCATTTATCATAATCTGCAGAGACACTATTCT